CTTTGAAGATTCTTCTATTCATAATACTTAGAGTGCATGGCTGCATTAACTGCCTTCTGCTGGCCACAAACCTTTACCCCTCATTTTTCTACCAAAGGAATAAGAAGATGTTTCTGCTCTAGGAAGTCATTGCTGACTGCCAGAGGTTCTGCCTAGCTGGCAAATGACAAACTTGGGAAAAGAACAAATACTGTATCAGTCACAGAAAGCCACAGTTTTATTTCAGGACAAAACAGGGACAGGATATTAGTGCATGAATAGTCCTACAGATGTCCATACTGACATGCTTCTTAGCATGGTTTTGTTGTGTATTGATTAATTGTTCCTCAGACATGGCCTGGCCACAGTTCAGGAGAAGAACATGTACCAAAACCAGAAGCAGTTTGGATATGACTGTTCTTTTTGGGAAAGGGATTTAACTTTGGGAACAGGAGGTGTTCWGTTCCACTTGGCCTTGGAGCTAGAGAAGATTCACTTGCCTGAATTATTCAGTAATACAGAGGAAGCCAAATTGATTCAGGGAGGAGCAAGCCAATAACAGGGTCTGAAGGGTCAGCCTAAGGAGCAGAGTAAAGGGGAGGGAATTCTTGCATCAATTGCAGAGATGCCGCTTATCTGCAAATATTTTGTTTTCCCTTTTAAAAGCACTGATGTTTCAAAGGATGTTTGYAAGCAAATCCCTCCAATTTTCCTCGTGGTTGCTGATGGTGTGTCTATTGTGGGAACTCAGCAGCACTTGCAGGTACAGTGGAAGAGATTACCCTGCTGCCAGGAGCTTTCATGCAGCATTGCTGTACCAGAAATGGTTGATTACTCAGGAGAAAGCGCAGAGTGGTTGTTCAGTATTTAGAGAATGCTAGATGGAACATGATCCTGATTGTATTTGACTTAAAAGCAACCTTGTTCGCTGCCTCAACATAAAAATCCCACCCCTGAAAATATTATAGCTGCCTTCTGTGGTAATTTTTTTGGTGATATTTATAAGCATCAGATTTTTAGACACATCTGGTACTTTGTCCATTTGGAAAGAGGTGATGTTTCATCTTTCACTGAGACACTTTAGGCTCCTTCTCATACCAAATCCATTTTCATTCCTGCTATATGAACCTGTAACACAGGTTATGCAATTAGGGGGAAAGTGTTTGTAGAAACAATAAGGAAAACCTGATAAATGAAATCYGCTATACACTGTTGGTCGTGCTGAKGCTATTCCAACAAACACAAACATATTTTTGCTTGCCCAGTTTTAAAGATACAGAGAAAAATAATTTATAGCCAAATTTGTTTTTCCTTCCTTGCAGCATTTATATGAATATAATAYTGTACACACCAAAAATATGTTAAGGGAGCATTACTACAATAAAGTAGAGTGCTAAAAAGGCAATGCTATAGTTARTGTTGYAGTTCTAATATTATAGTTAACAGGCTTTTTGTTCACTAACTGGGTCYCTCTCTGTGAATGTGCTTATACARTCTTGATRCAATTARGAGSACTTTTTAGGGCAAATGTTTGGTTTTAGGAAGGGAATTTACTTTCAAGAAAATGCAGTGAGATTTATATCACATCTGTTATTATCTAAGTGGAGCTTTGTCTTGCAAGGGAGATTTGTCTCATAGAGTGCACAGTTTGGGCAGCCTTCAATTTAGGACTGGATGCAAAATACTTTTACAAGTATTGCCCTGTARTTTTTTTTCYGTTTTTCTGGGGTTTTTTTGTTGGTTTATATATTTTTTGTATGCTATTTAAACCTTGCTTGGAAGACAAAATTGGTCATTTCCTTGTGGGAACTGTTATTCTGCTCTTTCCCTGTAGTTTCTGAGTGCCTCAGAAATGTTAATGTATCGTTAGCATTTCTGAGGAGGTGATGTGATATCTCCTCTTTATAAAGCAGAAGTGAAGRCTGGTGGTTGAAACACAGGTCTGAGAGTGTTTGGGAATTTGGGGGCTGCATTCAATGACCTGATTTTTTGCACTAATGCATTTTGCAGGATCAAGGCATATTCCCTGTTGTTGATTYCAGTGAGTGCTCAGCAGCACAGCAGTTTGGGTCTCAGGGTTCTAAACTGAAGACTGAAGATGCAAGGAATATTTGTTTGTTGACCAGCTGAGTCAAGATTTAGTGTAAATGGCTGCYCTAGCAGCACATAAGAGCTGTGAAGCAGAGGATAGCATGCAGTACTTTCTGACAGGATGATGCTTATTTCCAATTGTCTAAAGTCTCTTTCTTCTGATTCTGCTGTACMCTTTGAATATCTGTAAGAAATGATGGAGTGCTCCACTGAGTGATGGTCTTTCTAGATGCACTTCTGATCCTCGGGAAAGATACCTGCTGACAAGTTAGAAAACAGATCACTTCTTTAAAGAGGCTACTCAGAGCAAACAGTCCAAGATGTTTCAACTTTGACAGCCTTTCCTTGTTATTGTGCAAAATAGAATAGTCTATACCTACATTTTAAAAGTGCCCTTATTTTGGTTTACAGTACTCATCTGATGACAGTACCTAAGTCAGTCTCTTCTTTCAGCTTAATATGTACTTTTCGACTTGCAGACTGTTCATCTTTTCTCAAAACTGGTCTGTAGTGTCAGCCCACTGAYATTAGTTTACTAAACTGGATGGTGTTGCTAAGAATGTAAAACTATCCCATTAGCCTGTTTGCAATATAAAATAGGTTTCTGYATTTTACAAGCTTATGCAGTGTAGTAAGAATTTGGCAAGTGTAAAGGAAAAAGGTGTTAAGGAGAGCTGGCAGCTCCTTAAAGAAACGATATTAAGTGCAAACTCTTCCAATAAGGGGAAAGTTAAGGAAGTGCAGTGGAAGGCCGGTGTAGCTAAATTGCCAGATCCTCATGGCTCCTGAAAATAAGTTGKTTTTTTGCAGAGTGGAAAGTAGGTCAGATTTCCAAGAAAAGGGATAAAAAAATAGCATGTAGTGACAATAAAATAAGTATTGAGACACAAAATTATATTAAAGTAACCACGTGTAACAGATTGTAAGAATTCATTTTTCATGTACATTAGTAACGAAAGGAAGACTGAAAGGAAGGGTTAAAGGACAAAAAGGATCAACAAATGCCATTGGGATGGCCAGGGAGGGCATCTTTGGTTTGCTTGGCTCTTTCCCCATAAAGTGGATGATGTTGCTGCTGGTAACACGTGGCTCTGTACTGCCTCTGCAGTATCCAAAGATCTCACATGCACAGGTGAGTGTTTCTGTGCCCCCTGGTAACTAGAGGAGTGTGCACCTTCTGCCCACACCCACCAATCTTAGGGTGGCTTTTCTGGAGTAYGTTGCTGTAAAATGCCTGAAATGTATTTTGGAGCAGTCTGCTGTTGGAAGGGAAAGGAAAGGAGGAGCCCAGTAGTACCTTCTTTGCAAGTATTATTCTGTACTTTTGTTCATGGTTTAGAGGATGGCACTGAGTCCTCCAACATTTCATGTAGAAAGCTGGTAAAGTGGAAAGACACTGTGAAAGAAAGGGCTTAAATTCAAAGTGGTCTTGATCAATTGAACAAATAGTTGCAAAGGGAATGATCATAGTTCAAAAAGCACGTGTTCTGGATGTGACTCTTGGAAAGAAACAGATTTAATGATAAAGGCTGTGATATAGCTTCTAGAGAATGATTATTCAAAAAAAACTCTGAAAGTTTCAGGGAACCACAAACCAGTACGTAAGTACAGCGTCATGCTGTGGTATGTGGTATTCCAGGGTAAATAAAGAGGAATATAGCTTGCAGAACATCTAGGGGAAAAAGTTCCTTCCTTGCCTGGAGTACCATAGGACTCACAGGAACTGTACCTGGGGAAAGAAATATCAATCAACAAGGCTATGCATAGGAACTGTAACAAAGCTGAACAAACAGTCCTACATAACATAACTGATAAGTGTGTATTGAGKGAACTGGTGTTATGTGGGGTAGATGGCAGCAATGTGCTAGTGGTTATTACAGCCTTTTGTTAGTATGGGATGCATTCCCCCCTGTGCAAAGATGGGGAGAACAACCTGGTTTCTGTGCCTGTGACAGCACRAGACTGAAGTTCCAGCAAAAGAGAGAGCTTGAGCTACCATGGTAAAAGTAGAACAACTCTGGAAGAGTTTGAGTTGGGAGGTTATTGAATCTCTGTTATTGGAGGCCTTCAGGACCAATTAGGAAACATCTTCTGACATAACATAAGTTGTAATATTTTCTGCTGTGAGGCTGGACATCTTCTGATGGTTTTTCCAGGCAGAAGTGTATTGTTTTCTGATGTGCTTKCTCTTTTGTCTTTTATATCCTTTTACTTCTTGGTGAATAACACTGTTCTCTGGACAGGAATTTCTTAGATGGTGGAGGAAATGAAAATTCAGTAAATTCACAGTAGTGAAGGTAATWCAGTAAATTCATGGTGCAGTGCTTTAAACTACTATATTTGACCAACTGCTGCAGCTGGAAGTGTCATAGGCCACAACTTCTTAGGGAGAGTGTTCCTTACACATAGAATAAGGACTGGGACTTGCATTCCAATCAACATATTTTCTGAAGACTTTTAAAATGCATGTAACAGTCTGACATACCAGCTGTCACCAGAAATTGTGTCCCCCACCAACACCGGCATGCGGTGCRTTGGCACTCGTGTCACATGGGGAGGGAGTGTTGACAAGTCCTTTTGCTATCACCTTCGAAAGAGAGAGAAGAAGCCAGGGTTCAGTGAAGGCGATCCCAGGAGAGCACCAGGAACATCAGAACCAGAGCAGTCTGAGAAAGGTGTTACTGGGCAGGTCCAAGACTTTTACAAGCCCAAAAGAAAATGAGTGCAGCAAAAGTGAAATTTTCTCCAGCCACATCCATATTTAGCTTGGTGTTTAGGACTGATTTGAACCTCTCTTCRTGGGACAGCAGTGCAATGCCATTCCTGAGCAATCTTCCCAAGTTCCAGAATCTTGAGTAGCTCRAGTTGTATTTGAGTTAAAATTGAATTATGTTTTCTTTTGAAAACATTATGTTTTCTTTCTTTTTTAGAAGCCGAAGTTGATTTCCAAGCCAATGCTTGATAGCATCCTTTGTCTTCGTGATGACAGATGGAAGTACGTGCGGAGCCTCCTGACCCCAGCCTTCAGCGATACCAAACTGAAAGAGGTAAGGTGTAGACATTGCTGCTTTCATCATTTGGAAGACTTGTGCAGGCATCTGCTTTATGTAGGTCCRTATTAAGGAGAGGTAAAAGCTGCTACTTTGTGTTGCCTTCTTTAGACCTGAAAAGCACATGTAACAGAGCTTCTGTACGGCGTGGTTCAGGTGATAGATTGGTGAAAATCAGAAGAGCTCATCTGAGGATAGGATCTTCTGTCTTCCTGCATTTAAGTCACTTTGTCSATGAAAGTGTAGCATGCTCAAGAAGGATCCTTGCCCCTTCCTCTCCCCTGCCCTGGTAGGAGTAAGCTGAAGTCCAGGAAAGGTTATTGCTCCCAGTTGGAGCATAGCTCTTCTTGATGTGCAGAGTCAGCAACTCCTGTGTTAACACAGGAACTGCTGTCAGTCTGTTTTCATTTCTGCATCTCCTTCCCCTTCCCTCCTCCTTTTATTCTTTAATCCTTTCATATAATAAAATAAGTCACTGGAACAGAATGTCATTGCCAGATAAATACCTCTGACTGAAAATAAATGTCTCTGTGCTGACCTGCCGCTAATTTCCTGTAAATGTATCAGCATTTGCTCAGCCATGGGAACCCATTACCCAGTAACAAAGTCCTGTTGCAGTGACACGATATCTCTTAATTAAACCTAGATAAATGATTGACTGGCCAAAGTCTTCTTTCAAGGAAAAATACAAAAACCAACCCCGCAACAAAAAAAAAATCACCTCTTCCTGTATATATTTTACTCTGAAAGGGAATCATGCCTCACTCCRGTGCCCAGTCCTGGGTTGTAAAATTTTCCACTGGGCAGACACTTGTGTTGTTTTGACATGCCGCTGTCGAAATCCACAGTAACATCTAAATGTGTCTGGCTCTCCCAGCTCTATAGACAGCGGTCGCTTAGCAACGCCGGCTGTCACCTCCTTATTATGGTAAATTCTAATTGGCCGCGAGCCTGCCGGAGATGCTGATTAATCACGACTGACAATGCCATTGGTTATGCGCCCTGACATTTGCTCTGTCACCGACTCCATCACGAAATTTCASCAAGGCGAGGGTGTTTAAATATGCAAGCGATTAGTTGCACATGGCACGGCGGGGAGAGGAGAGTTTTGCATTTTCCTGGTGGAAATTAATCTGCCTTTCTGCAGATCATCGGCTCCGCGCTCGCGGACTAACAAAAGATAACGCCGCGCTCCCCTCGATTTGTSGAGAGCAGCCTCTGCCGGCACCAGCCAGGCAGGCTCAGCTGAGCCTGGGGGATCCTGCTTTGGGGTTAGGCACGGCTTTGCAGGGTCTGRCTGACCAAACCAGGCCGGGAGGAGAAGTCACGGCACTCCCTTTGCACGGCTTGGTGCTGGAGCTGGAATGCAGGGATGGTGGTAGGAGGGAAAATGAAGAGCTGCCCAGTGCCTGGTAGCTGTCTTGCATGCAAAGATTGAGATCTTTATTTTTAGCCTGATAATCAGCTTTGCCCATGCTGCCTCTTCCAAGCTCTGTGGAAGGTGTGTAACTGTGCATGGGCTTAGGGTGACCTGGAAATTGTCATTTTCTGCTCCCATTCTACAGCAAGTGGGAAAAAGGATTGGGGCAGGTCCCTCTGAGAGGCTCCACTTTACTTTTCTCTCCCATGCCTTCASCAGAAGTCCTTCCATCTCTGCACAGACAGGCACTTGCAGTAAGTGAGATTAAGAACYGCTGTTGAATGGATGTGCTCCTCAGCCTTGCATTTCATTTTCTATCCTAATACATTAGCAATCCTGGGATTTGAAGTTAATGCAACTTAAGTCCTTGCCCATGTGCTTTTCCTGCTGTTGCTTAATTTAGAAGCCATACCAACGCTTCTCAAAGGAAATCAATGCTCATTAATTATGATCTCACTTTTAAACTCTCCCATATTTGGTACTCTCTCAGCAGTATGGAAACAAAAATACCATGTTCTAGTATTGGCCATACTACAGAGTATTCAGCATTATCTGCAAGACATCCTGTTTATAATAAGCCCTTCCTCTCWACTTTGAGTTACAAACACAAATTTGGTACTAATTTATTGCATAAGAACRTAGATATGCTATTTTATACATATTTATAAATATTACTAGGACATYCCTTATTTCATCTTCCAAGATATTAATTCCTCTGACAAAATCACACTCCAAAGTCTTCCTCTCTGTCCATTCTGGATGTCTGCCTTACGTTTGTTCCTCTGTGCAAACTCTCCAGTGACTCTGGAGAGACTGCAGATCCCACGAGTGTCTTTGGAGAGTGGCTCCCYTTGAGTGCTGCAGCCCCTAGTGCCACTCCAAACATCGCCTGGCTGGATGCTCTGAGAGAATTGGGAGCTATTAGCCTGTGACAGAGCAATAAATGTTAACAACTGCTTGTGCTCCCCATAGCAATCACTTCAGATGAACGATGCACCAGGGGATGGAGACTTCAGCGTAGGTTCCTGATATCTCCATCTCAGAAGCACAAGAAAGGACAGTTTCAGGGCTAGCAAGGAGAAGCTGGTCATCTATTCTGGCCTGGCTGCTGGAGGACAAGACCCAAGACAGAGCTACTGTGWGTTGCTAAGATTTAATCTGCAATGCCCCACAGAGGCACTTGTGGCTGTGGGCAGAGGCGAGCTTTGTCCCTGTCACTCCAAAGAAGGGGTGTAATATAACTGAGAAGTTCACTGAACTTGAGGAACTTCCCCACAGTTTGGCAAATACCTCCAACAGCCAGCCAGCAAAAGATGAAAAGTTGATTCCAGAAATTTTGAATTTTTTGAAGTTACAGGAATGAACTGAAACTAGAGGTTGTAGAGTTCTTGGGTGGCTAATATAGTGATTTCTGCATGTCTGCAGAGAGTTGTTTCGKTAATATTTTTCAAGAGTTTCTGACATCTTCTTCAGCTTTCTCTCTCTCCCTTTTCTCAATTTATCTTTAGAAGCTGTTTCCCTGTTGCTTTTATGGATTTCTGTGTATTGGTGTTCTCCCTTTTTAATTTTCTTTTGCTAACAAGCATGTAAAGATCAGTAAAGGAATCCATGTTTGGCTCTGGATAACTATAAACACAAATACAATGTGCWTAGTGGTGGTGAGCACAGCATAAAGCAACAGATTTGTAAGCTTGATCCTGCAGTAATATTGGGCAGCATCCCACGTGAGATGCCACTGGAATTGGTGGCAGAACTAATAATAAGCTCTTTCCARTAAGATTCCTGAATGATCCTCACGCTGCTATTGCTATGGGAGCGCTAGGAATGAGAAATGAGAGACAGGAGGCAGGAAACCCAAGAAATGTCACTTCCAGCTCTGCCATTGACTGCCTGTGGGTGATCTGACAGAAGCTACTTAAATTCTCTGCACGTGAAACAACTTTTATCTGTTAAGTGGGAACAATACCAATCACTGAAAGTTGATCCAAGATGTAATTAATGAGGAACTGGTGAATTATAATACCTAGAGGCTCTTAAGTAACAGAAACATTTCCCAGTGTTCCTGTCATGCTCTCCTCAGCTGTTATGTATTGAAACAAGCTGACATGTTAGTGATCTTGCTGTACCAATCTTGATTCCCTATTTAGTATTTCTTATTTTGTTCCTCTTCTTTTTGCTGTGGTGCCTGTGATGATCCTGCAGTTCTGGACCCCTTGTCAGACTTGATAAATAGCTTTACTCTCTTTTACAGCCAACACCAGCAGAAAACCTATTGATTTTTATTTATTCTGATGGTGCTGCAGTAGTCTTGTCATCTCCTATCAGTATGCCGAGGATCCTTTCCTCCATTTACAAACYATTTAAACAAAACAGAACACAAAAATTAAAGAAGAGAGCATAGCTTAATGTAGCATTGTCCTAAGTAACCTGTAAAGTGGAGTTTGTGTTGAGGCATTTCCTTCAAACAAAGGGAGACACAAAGCAGAACTTGAAATGGCATGGCAGAGCAGTGCAGAAAAATCCTCTGGTGTCACTCTCAGGCATGTAGATCTTTCRTGTCCCACTRGGACATAAGATCTGGCAGCYCAACCATTAAGGTTYCCTTGATTTGCTCTTTGTGTGCATKGGTCAAAGGCAYTTTGGSWRTGTCTCTGGAARYTGCAGTTGTTGCTGGACAAAGCAAGTGTGCTCACCTAAGGCAAGGCAAACCACTAATGATTGAAATGTGCATAATCTTGAGCCACAGGCCAATGTCTTTGTTGAGTTGCACGCTTTGGTAAGTTGTGCCCAGGAATAGCAGGGCTCCACTGTCAGGTGATGGAAGCAAATCCTCTCACACAACACCTCTCTGACACTCTGCTCTTTTTCTGCTTTTATTCAGGGACTTGAAATGTGGAAGAGAAGCAATTCCTGTGTTAGGGATGTATTCTTTTCCCTTCTCATTCCTTTCTATTTCATAACATTTGTGGGACAAGAGGCCCAGCACAACTTCTGTGTGCTGTATGTGAACAGTAAGGTCTCCAGTGTGTCTGTCTACTGTGAATATGATCCAGCCTTCTAGTTTTCCATTTGGATGCTAATAATAAGGGGAATAATAACACTGATGAATACTGAGGGCCACATCTAACTAGAGGAACGTGCCCCTAATGCCTTTGAATGGTGMAAACGTCCCCATGCACTGTGCATACGCAGAATCAGAAGCTAATTGTGGTTATGTGCCAAATAGCATATTGGCAGGATTTATACAGCAAAGCCCCTGGCATCATGAAAACCCTAACCCCAAATGCTCTTCTTTGGCAAAAAAGAAAGAAATTTGGACTCTGGGCTACTCTTGCTATTAGATAACTGTCAGATCAAATATTTACAGGGACCATATTGTTTAGATTTTTCTTCATCCTGTTACTCTCAGCCAATCTGAACACAGAGCAGCTGGGATTTGTTTACCCACTAAGAGCTGAATCTCAGGCAGGTTATGCAGGTTTTATATTCTGACTGGCAAATGGGAATGTATGGGAAGTCACTGATACCCAAGGCAGTGTAGATCAACGTGTCTGTTTCTGTGCCAGTTTCCAATGTTCRGTATAGTTCACCTCCCCCGACACTACTTTATTTTTCTTGACAGGAGGACAAAGATTTTGAGGTGTTATGAGRCTTGAAAATGTTTCAGTCTGCAGTCTTTGTAGTTCTCAGTTTTGGACTAATTCATGTCCCCCAGGGGAAAAAAAAACCCAAACCCAACCTAGGATTCTGGAATAGATATTCCCTGTAGTTTTCATATACAAATAATTGTTTTATTGGCCTGACTGTCCTATCATGCTAACGGTAAATCAAATCCATGTGCCCCCCTCCCTGTTTTCCTGGTTAGATTTACTAATAAAAATACCTTATGGCTGGGAATGAATTGCAGCAGTATTTTGAAAGCTGGTGGAWTGTGCAAAGTGCAGAGGTGCTGTGGGATGCCCTGGCCAGACGTACGTGCCCCTGACATCTCTGCCAGCTGTTGAAAAGTGATAGCARCCAGCTGGCTGGTTACAGGTCTGGTGATGTGATGAAGAATAGAAGTGAAAATAAGGCAATAAAAGGAAAATCTGAAATGATCACCATCTGTTTTGGAAACATCATACCTGTTAAAAAAAGGACTTTTATTTACTTCTCCTTGGCTGGTTCAGTTCATTGTGGGGGTTGGATTATAAAATATTTCACCTTGGGTCAATCTGCTGCACAGAAAGGTATTAATTTGGTTTGAACCATTTGAGAAGAAGCTTGCTGCAGGGGACCTTCTCTGGAAAGGCAAAAGGGGAAGAAGACTGTCACATAGTGTGATGTGCATCTCCCAAAAATGTAACAGCTGCTTTTACTGAACACTAACCCAGCATCAGAATTGTCTTATGAGGCTATGGCAAAGCCCAAATCAACCCAGCTTTGCGGTGCAATTTCTCCCATAAAGGCATGGGACCTCGAGAGCAGCTAGACACATTCTTGACTCAGGCTTCTGCCTTCACAAAACATATTGGATGCTCCTGCGCTGGCCTTTTGACTGCGGAGAGTCTTGCCCATGTGTTAAGATGGCAACGTGCCTGTGCACAAAGTGTTATGCCAGTTTCACAGAGGTAGAAGTGCCAAGCAAAATGGACTTGGCTGGGCAGGCTGCAAAGCTCTCGCAGTGTGCTGYGAGGCTGCAGTAAGTCTTTTTTGGTAACAAGAATGTCAGAGGAGTRGGATGAGTCTGTTCTCGTGTTTGTTGATATCCGTGTGCTGAAGGAGGTGATTTAGGAAGGAAGGGYGAGTTGCTGTGTGTGCATTGCTGATGCCTGGTGTAGTTGTTGAGGCAAAACTGGTATTAAGTTGTGGCCTGCTCCTGGCAGTCTGTATGGGAAAGAGCCATAGGACATAATTCCTTTAGGTTCACGGCTGGATTGGTGCTACACCCTTCCTCTGCCCTGCTGCTTGGTGCAGCCAGGGAAGTGTCTGATTCCTCTCCTATGTGGGAAACTAAAGAGACAGAAAGAGAAGCTTTAATGAGGCCTTGATGTTTGCCTGTGCTCTGGTTTCCATGAACCCTCAGTCACTATTTCATTTTTGGCTACAGGCAGGCTGGGGTAAGTCTACCTGACCAGCATGTGTCAGTGACTGGAAAGAACCTTTAGAGGAATAAATTCACATGAATGTCCATTCAGTGGTATCACCACTTCAGAAAAGCCTTTCCTTGTGTACCTGTAGCACTTTGCCCTCAGCAGCTTATAGTGGTATCCAGAGTGTTCTCTAGTGTATGCATTAAAGTCCCTCAAACTGAGATRCAGCAGGGTAGAAGTGCTGGGGCTCTGATGCCAGTGCCTTTATAGGACTTTGGAAAACACCATTCTTTCTGACCTGGAGCATTTCTAACTTAAACAGATCATGAAGTCATCGTTTCATTGTTTGTAATGGTTAAAAAGAGAGGGGCTTTGTTTTGCCTGATAACTCTGTGAATGTAACCATAGTGGGGCAAGAACCATCAGTCAGGTAAGTGACGCTACCTCTTGTATTTAGAGGTACAATATATAAATTTATATACAATATAAATATATAATATTTATACATAAATATAAATAAAAATATACAATTTATATACAATAAATACCTCTTGTATTTATCCCAAAGCTGGAGAAGGGCATCCCTGCAATGTGTAAGTTTATTTTTAGCAAAAAGTGTCAATATTTTCTCTTACCTGTGCATAAGTGCCTAAGAACACCTGCAGAGGAACCTAAGAGCTCTATCCCATTTGTCAGATAAAAGTGATTTAGAATTATTATTTTTGTTTGGGTTTTTTTTCCCTTAACATTTGAATGGTTTTTACATTTCAATATGTTCCCTTCTAGATGACTCCWCTGATAAACCAGGCCTGTGACACCCTGCTGTGTAACTTGAAAGYCTACGCAGATTCTGGCAAAGCTTTTGATATCCAGAGGTATGTTCAACATGCCAAAAATTAGTAGCAGATTAAAACAACTAAAGAAGTCAGTAGCAGAAGTTATTCTAAATTCACAACATACTATATAAAAGATTTTTTTCTTCTCTCACTTTTAAAAGTGGAGATCATAGTTTAATAGAGGTGTGTGTGATGAATGCCTTTTCTTCCTGGGGACAGCCATTGCATACTTGAAAAGTGATTTTGGTAAAGCATCTAATGTATTTCTGGCAGTTATTTAATGAAGTTTTAACAGCTGGAAGCACAAAGGAAGGCTGCATCAGTCCCTGTCCAGTCTGTTCTCTACAGCCTGCCAATGATGTACAAATATAAGAATTGATCTAGTATCAAATATATCTAGTCTGTCACTGTTTTGCTTTTTTTTCTTGTGTGAGGTTTTTTTGAGCACTTAATCATTCTTACCCCATTCTTCATCRCCCCCTCTCATGGTACACTAGCTTTTTGTGAAACAATAGGATCAGCATTCCAGATAAGTGACATTTTAATATTTCCCATATTGTGCTTTCTCTTATTTGTTATGCATTTAATATCCTATTATCTTTTTTGTTGCTCTTTCATCAGAGATCTTCAYTGAACTGTTCACAACACTGTCTAGTCCCTTCTCTGAGTGGATGCATTTCCTCTGAGACCCTGGGTAGTGGTTCAAATGCATTATTTCTAATAGCACTATTTTTGCTTCCTTTTGCTTACACTTCATTTACTGGGTTGATCAGGCCCCTCTGAAGTTCTTCATGACTTTTCCCAAACTGAAGCAGCATGAATAATTTTGTTTCATCAGAAGAGATGGATATTTAGCCACAATGTATTCATGTTTTTTCAAGTGCATGTGCACGTGCACATGTGAGTGTATGCACAGCGATCTCTTTATTAAAAGCTGAGGAGATGCTATGAAATCTCAAGATACATTATACTAGCCCAGTGCTGTGATAAAAATTGACCTTTTCAGTTCTTCCAGACTTTYCCCTTTTTTCCACTTGTCCTTTGTCTTTGACTGGTCTTTCAGCTGTTGATCAGTTATAGAGTTTCACCTTTCAAGAGACACGTTGGAAAAGACCATTTCAAAGTAGAAATGAATGATGTTGACCATCTCGGAACATGATCTTCCAGTTGTTTTACCATACTACCATTTCAGCAGGTTTGACATATTTATAAATGTGATTCTTGTTCCACTGCAGTTTCACAGAATTGTCTTGGGAACTGGTTTTTGTAYGTATAAAACACTATCTGTAACCTTCTGTGACCTTAGTTGTCTTTAGATGTTTTGTGCTTTGCCAATAATTTGGCAAAATTTAGTTTTTAAGACTTTTTTTTTAGTACCTTGGAGAAGTGCTTCTGAAATTATTGTTTTACAGCAATTCCCCTTCTTTTAACATTTTTACTTCTAATAATGTGGGGTTTTTTTTTTTTGTACATGTGTGTCTGTATTTTAAAGAGTTGAAGATCAAAAATTACTTAGTTTGCAGTATTGTTGTTATCTTTCAAATCTGCTCTGGTGTGATCAGAACGACAACTCCCAAAGATCATAGTTTAGAACTCCTGCTTTACATAGTATATGCAGAATATAATGGTCCTGACTCCTGTCCTTCTTTTCACACATGCTCACTCAGGTTACAACACCAGAAATTGATATTAGCCTTTTGTAAAGATCATGGAAGCACAATCATTGCAGACTTTTAGCACAGATGAGAAGAATCTAATTCCAAGGATATTTTACATTCTCAGTCCACTTACTCAAAACTAAATAGAGYTGCTAAAGCCCAGTAGGATAATAAAGCTGGTAAGACAACTGGATGGGTGGTCAGATAGGCAGGGAGCAAATCTGTAAGTTCTGAAGTTTCTAGATCATGGTCCACAGATCATTTGTAGTTCTCAAAGCACTTGCTGCTGATACAGAGATACAGATGGTGTCAGTTCTTCTTGGTTTTATCCACAGAGTTACATTACAAAGGAGGAGGAAATCCTTAAGCGCCTTAATTTTATTTAAGAACCTCTTGTCTCTGAGAGTTTAGACTGGACTGGGAGTAGGTGAGGTTTTTGCAGTTTAAAATGAGAAAGGAGTGGTCTCATTTATTAGGATGCATACTAAGAAACTGCTTGTGAATTTCTGATGTGTTGCATTTGATTTCTAGATAATCGCAAATTAAATAGTTTCAAATAAATTTTTAGTGGAATTACTGAGCTGTATGAAAATCTGTTCGCTTTGTAGGTATAGAGAAGGTGATCATTATCAAGCATCAGYATTTGTCAGAATGATGGAAACATCTCTTGTTGGCAAAGCTCAAATGTAAAAGCAAAAAGAAACACGGTGGCAAAAATTAATGCTATRTGATGTTTGTAGAAGCCAGATATTAATATTAATGGATATGTGATTTGTAGATAATGATTTATCGTTCTTCATTTAAATGCAGGTGTTACAAATGCTTTACCTTGGATGTYGTTGGTAGCGTAGCTTTTGGAATTGAGGTGGATTCTCAGAAGAATCCTGATGACCCCTTTGTGAAGAATTGCARAACATTCTTTGAAAGGTCTTTGTTTAAGCCTCTTCTCATTCTGATCCGTGAGTATAGCTTACCTTTCTCTACTTCCATGTGGTAATTTCCTAAAAGTCATTCTCAAATTACAAAACACGCCGAAGTCAGAGAGGAAGTTTTGTCGCTGATGTTATTTCAGAGGTGTTCAAAATGCAACCTACAGGCCAATTCTACCCTTGAGATTTCTACCATATGCTCTGCAGGTCTTGTCACCATTAATGAAACTTACCCCAGAAACTGAGAGACCAGGGCCACACTGCTCCAGGGTCATCTGAGAGGAAAGTTTCTGTGTCCTGCAGTTTCTACATTTGTTTTACTGCACTTCTCACTARAACAGAGTAACTGCCCTTTGTAACYAAAGCATAAGGTTTTTGTGCACTTGGTTTGCTTAGCAGAGATTGAAATCCCATCCATTAACAATCCAGTAAAGAAAAGAAGTGGAGGAGCATAAACAGATGTTTTCTGGACAGTGGCAGCAGCGTGACTGATGGCTCTAAAGGACAAAGATGAGAMATGTCATGAAGAGAATGCATTTATTTTCAGGTGAATAGTTAGATATGTTCTAGCTCATGATAGCTAAGGCTTCATGGTGGTGATGGTCTTGTTAATTCAAGACAGAATTATTCAAGAACAGCTAAGGAGGCCACAGCATAATCAAGGCTTTTGAGGTTTTATCACCTTGTTATCTAGAGCTGCACACAGTGGTATCAGGTGGCAGAGTGGCAAAGTTTCCTGTGCCCATCTGATCCYGCTGGCATTACAGATTGCACCTGTACTCGCAGTGCATCAACTGTTTCCTCTTGGAGCTGTGCATCCAAATTGCCCTGGGGTTAATGTTTAACCTGATTGCAAGATGTGATTTGTTACCAGTTTCTTAAGGGACAGAAATGTGGCCCTATATATCTAAGAACGTGTCCTTCATTGAAGTGAGTTTCTGTAGGGTTTGGGGTTGGATTCCTTGGTTCCTTTCTTTCTGCTTGTTCATTAATGTGGTCTGAATTTTCACAAAGTAGTTGTCCTGCTGGTGGGACAGGGTTTTTGCAATGATTGATTTGTTGGTCTTAAGTTATAAATAAGTTAATGAGGGGGTTATTAAGGATGCAAGACTTCACTCAGGTTTCTAGTTCCTGACTGTAAAAGCCAAAGACTGGAGACCATCCTTGTGATAATATCCCACTTCTAGAGCCTGTTTAGAGAAGCAGAATAAAAAGAATTATAGAATAGTCTGTGTTGGAAGGGATTTTAAAAATAATCTAGTCCAATACCTGGCAGTGAGCATGGACATCTTCCACTGGGTCAGTTTGCTCAGAGGTCTGTCCATCCTGGCCGTGAATGTTTCCAGGGATGGCGCAACCACCTCTCTGAGCAACCTGTGCCAGTGTTTCACCAGCTTCATTGTGAAAAACTTCTTCCTTATATCTAAACTGAATTGGCCTTATTTTAGTTTAGAACCCATAGCCTTGGTCCAAGAGCCCCATTCTTCCTATAGGTCCCCAATGCTGGAGAACTGTAAACGAGAATAAATCCTACATGGTTTCGTGAGTTGGTGCCACAAGATGCTAGGCCAGTTCAAGGTTCCCCACCTTCTCTGTGGAATTGTTTGAGTGGGCAGGGGAAATAATACTCCCCTCTGTGGTGGTGGCTCTGTGGCAGCAGAAAACTGAACCAAAATCCTGAGGCGTTGTGGAGACAAGCTTGRAAGGCATCAGGGGAGAGAGTCTGGCAAGAGAGTCCTGGCCAGTGTGACATTTCCAGCTGGAAATCCTTTACCAGCCTATGGGGGTGGAAGAAGAAGAGAGGAAAAATCAGTTTTCACAAAAAGAACACATCCCTTTTGATGAGTTTTATCACATTAATGAACGTGGGGGGCTATTGCATGCTTTCACAGTCTGATTCAATGTTTTCTTCTTTAAAAACTCTTACAGTTTCTTTCCCGTTCATAATGATCCCATTGCTACGCATTTTTCCCAGCAAGAAACAAAAGGAACTGAATGGATTTTTTATCCAAACCATAAAAAATGCGATTGTCTACAGACACCAGCAAGATGCAGCTGAGGTAAGGCTATTTTCTGTGATAAATATATGATAAGCAAATGTTTTGAGGCAAAATGGAAGTGGCATAAACCTCAGTTTAAAAATCAAACTCAGTCTGAACATTCAAAGTGTTTTAGTGAAGATTTGATTAATTTTTAAGCTTTATGTACCATCAGGCAGAGTTGTTAACACATTACAAGATTGCTTTTYTTAGTATTTCTGTTCAAGTCAGGATGCAGCAAAGTTGCATCTGGGATGACTTTTCAAATCTCTRGACCCAGAAGGAAGGATTCAGCTTGTGGAATCTTCCCTCATCTTAARATCAGGTGTCATGTCTGCACTACTTTTCCTTAGGGACCAGAATAAAAGAAGCCCCCACTGAATGTTTTGACCCAGTTACTCCCTAAGAGCTGAGGCCAGTTTTATGAGTCCTGTGACAGTTCCCTTCCCTTCCCTTCCCTTCCCTTCCCTTCCCTTCCCTTCCCTTCCCTTCCCTTCCCTTCCCTTCCCTTCCCTTCCCTTCCCT